CGGCAACGCCGATTTCTATATTGTTGGTGCGGGCGTAGGCGAGGTCGTCTGAGCCCGCCGTGCTCAGGGAGGACTGCAGGGAGCTGGTGCCTGACTCGGCGTTGCTGCACTGCTCGTAGCCAACAGGTAGACTTGCAGAGGGCCGGCGTGTGGGCAAGCGCGATTTCCGGCGGCGCCAGCAGCAGCACGCGCCGGAGCTCCAGCACTTGAAAACGATGGCGTCGACCTCGGTGTGGACGTCGAAGTGGGAGCGCGGGTCGACGTACATGGCGAAGTAGCTGGCAGCGGCTGGACACTGCTAACTGGCAGTGGCGGCGGAACATGGGCTGGAGGCGACCCTACCCGCCTGGGAACAGCATCATGTCGGCGTCAACCCAACATACTTCTACTATATGTGCGTCGCCCCCCAGGGGCGACGCGCGCACCGAGAAATCTTATAGTATATGCGTCGTGGCGGGCGCTTTCTGGCCACACCGCTCGAGAAACGGTATACTACAAGATGGGTATACTATATGTTCGGGTCGGACGCGCACCTCCGAGGCGGACATATAGTATTAGCATGTCTCTGTGCGTCCCATCATGGGCAAGCCTACCGGCGCCAGCGTGACCCACAGCACGAACACAACCTGGCCACAAGGATGGGCACCTGGCAATTGAAAAAACGCCACGGCGGGCCGGGCCGCGCGCCAAAATCTGGCCTCAAGCAGCTGCTGCGACGCCGCCGGCTGGAAAGTGCTCGTCCGGCAGGATCCAAACCGACGGGGACAGCGCGCATGGGACCCTGCGCGCGTGCGGGACGGTGCCAAGCAGAAATTGCGGGCCGCTCGCGCACAGAGCCTGGAGCCAAAATGGCTTGAGCCACAGTGGCTACGAAGGGGGAGGGGGAGAAGGGAGGAGAGAGGAGCGCAGCAGCAGCGGACGACAAAGGGGGGAGACAGGGCGAGAGGGGGCCGAGAAGGGCACGAGCCCACGAGCCCAGAACACGCACCGACGCGACCGACCCGAGCAAGACGATCCACGTCACGCGCCGAACCGGGAGCGAGCGGACAGGGGGAAGAAGGCAGAGCTGAGACCCACGACTAGCACGAGGAGGAGAAGGAGGCCGATGAGAGGGCAGGGAAGGAGAGGGAGGGAAAGCAGCAACGGCTGCAAAGTCGAGGAGCTGGATCAATCACACTGTGCCGCCTGTGCTGAGGCGAGCAGCCGACCGTGCCAGCCCGCTCCACATCGGTCCGGCCGCTGTGCGAAGCGGTTCTTACGCAACGATCCGCGCGCTCCCGGGCAGGCGGCTGCAGGTGGAGGCACGCTTCTGGCAGAAGCCTAGAAGATCCCGACAACAAGGGACTTGCTGCTTCGGAGGCTATCACACTGCTGGCGACTGCCTCGAACACTATGCGGAACTGCCCCCTCGCCGCCTGTTAAAGGCCAGGTTGTATTGCGGTTCGCAAAGGTTTCGTTGGACAGCTTTGGTGCGTGAGGCACGCAGACGACGCAGCCCTTTCGCTTCACGCTCTCGCAGCGTTTTCTGTTCACCTTGCTCCGGCTCATTCTCGTGACCAAGTCAAGCCGACGGCCACGAGTGTACACGACGCGATCGAGTAGTGGTGCTGGGCTGCAGGACAAGCTGCTCTCACGTGCATATCCGAATGTGAGCTTTTCTTTTACTCGGCGTTTCGAGAAGGGGGAGGGGGTCTGGCTCCCGACATCTGCTTAGTGCGACTGCTTGGAAGCGTGCGTCTTATCAGGGGGGACTCCACCTGATCGAAACAAGCGCAAACATGATCGACCCACGAACCCGGAAAGGAATATAGAAATGTAAGGCATTGCAACATTTCAAAGACACCTGATTGGGCGACGGGCACGTGCAATGCTGAATGTATCGATGATGATGTACTGTGCCGAGGGCTGTGCTGTGCTACGCCGTGCTGAACTGCGATGTGCCATGCCGCGATTGTGCTCTATATAGCGTTGTGGATCGAGTCCTCCCTGGCATCCGAGTCCTCACCGAACTGATCTGGAGCGTAAGCTCGAGCTGCCTGAGCAGATGGTAGCTGCCCCAGAACTAATCGACAGAGGGAACATGCCAGGAGGACGCGCCGCGGAACGTCCCAAGGGACGCGCCAGGCGACGTGCCAGGGGACGTGCCATGGGGACGCACCGCGGGACGTGCCAAGGGGACGCGCTACGGAACGTGCCAATGGACGTGCCGAGGGACGTGCCAGGGGACGCGCCGCGCGACGTGCCAGGTGGACTCGCCACGGAACGCGCCAAGGAACGTGCCAAGGTGCATAGTTGAGTGTATCGATCTTGATGTACCGTGCCGACGGCTGTGCTGTGCTGGGCCGTGCTGAACTGCGATGTGCCATGCCGCGATTGTGCTCTATATAGCGTTGTGGATCGAGTCCTCCCTGGCATCCGAGTCCTCACCGAACTGATCTGGATCGTAAGCTCGAGCTGCCTGAGCAGATGGTAGCTGCCCCAGAACTAATCGACAGAGGGAACATGCCAGGAGGACGCGCCGCGGAACGTCCCAAGGGACGCGCCAGGCGACGTGCCAGGGGACGTGCCATGGGCACGCACCGCGGGACGTGCCAAGGGGACGCGCTATGGAACGTGCCAATGGACGTGCACCGCGCGACGTGCCAGGGGGACTCGCCACGGGACGCTCCGCGGAACGTGCCAAGCAACATGCCAGGCTGCAATGCTAAGGGTATCGATATTGATGTACCGTGCCGAGGGCTGTGCTGTGCCTGGGCGACCTGGACACGTGAAAACACGCGTTTCGCTCAAGACGTTGTCAGCACATCCTCATGCTAGACATCCGCCTGGGCAACCTGGACACGTGCAAACAAGCGTCTCGCTCGAGACATCCTCAACAAATCCTCATGCTAGACATCTGTCTGGGCCACCTGGAGGCGTGAAACCAAGCGTCTCGCTCGAGACATCCTCAAGACCTGGGCACGTGAAAACAAGCAATCCACTTGAGAGATCCTCAGAATTCAGGTCCCCAGGAGAGGACAATATATGACACAAAACAAGCGTTTCGCTCGAGACATCCTCAACCAATTCTGAACACACAAGCGTTTCGCTAGAGACGTCCTCAAATTTTAATTCGCTAGCCCTACGCGACCTCGTTATTTATCGCAACAGAAATTCGCCGGCCCTACAGCCGTCAAAACCGGGGGTAAACCTACTAAAAGAGAACCCTGGGCCTAAGCCCTTTCCGGGAAAAACAGCCAAGATCTACTCCAGGGGGGGGAGGGGGGGGTTTGGGGGCCCGCGCCGATTGGCAAAACAACGAATAACGAAACGATCACATTCGAGGTGCTGCTCAAATGCTGTTCGCTCTCCGCCCAAATAGGCACGTGCACCCGCCTCTTGCTTTCCTAGAGGCCTCGCAATTTGGGGTTCGAGCAGGTGGGGTCGGAAGATCGCACCGCGTCGACAACGCATCGCCGACACATCGGCAATGCATCGGCGATGCATCGGCGCCGGCGGCGTGGAGAGAATCAAGCTCCACATCGAGCCGCATCGCCGGTGCATCGGCGATGCGGCGCGATCCTCCGACCCCCGTCTACTCGGACCCCACTTGGGAGACCCAAATCTTCACACTGGGATGTTAGCACGGGGGGAACAAGTCCTGAGGTAAACAGGTCCTGGACCCCAGGGCCTTCCCACAAGACGAGTTTTTCACCCTGAGTCGATGAATCGATTTCTGACAATCCTGGGGACCGTGGAGCGCCCCGAGAACCCGACAACTGCAACAGATCTAAAGACACGTTTCCCTCAAGACTCGCTTCCCCCATGGCGAGGGATTACCCTCACGGCCCGTTCAGGCAGGCATGGGCTCCCTCTGGGTGCTCTGCCTGTGCGCGGGGGCCCAGGGAGGGGGACGAATGGAGGGAGGGGTCCTCGATCGATCTTCGGACCGCGATCCTCGACCTCGAACCTCGATCGATCCTCGACTCAATACCGACCCTTGACTCAAGATCCTCGACCTCCACCCTCGCCCTTGCTTCGAATCTGGATCGATCCTCGACTCAAGAGCCTCGAGCCTCGACCGAACGAGCCTCGATCCAGACGATCGAGCGATGCCGTGGCAACTGAGGTCATCCGTCGGTGGCAGCTGCGGCTGGCGCCGCAAAGATAACGTGCAACATCGGCATCCGACGTGCCATCGGGGCGGAGCGAGCGAGCGAGCGGCGGCGGCTTTGGCGGCGCGCGGGGGGTCGAGGAGGAGGGGGAGGGGAGGAGAGGGGGGAAGGGGGAGGGGGAGGAGGAGGAGGAGGAGGAGGAGGAGGAGGAGGAGGAGGAGGAGGAGGAGGAGGAGGGGAGGAGGAGGAGGAGGGGCGGCTATCCCCGTGAGGCGATTCCCTCGCAGTGGCCCGCTCTGCGCCACGCTGTCCCCCCTGCGGGGGCCTCGTCGGTGCACGCCATCCCCCTGCCAGAGTTTCCTCTGTGCACGCTATCCCCGAGGTGAGGAGCCTCCTCCTCCTCCTCCTCCTCCTCCTCCTCCTCCCTCCTGCTCCGCCTTCCTCCTCCGCCCTCCTCCTCCGCCCTCCTCCTCCGCCCTCCTCCTCCGCCCTCATAGCGTGTAAGAAGCTGATCAGCGGCACCACATCGCACGCTACCTTTACAACGCCGACCGTACGCTCAACCAGGAGAACGCTGGCGCTGCTGTCGACTCCAAAGACGTTTTGCGAGAGCGCCGGTGGGATCTTATGGTCCGCGAAGACTTGCGAGGTCCGTGCTGATTCGTGTGCTGGCGTGGGCGAATTTTCTCAGGAGAGAGTACGCAGACATTGCGCCCACAACCCTCACCCGAGGATGCGTTCTCCTGCAAACGGGGCGAGGGGCGGGACGAGGCGGAAGGGAGGAGCGAGGGGAGGGGCCATGGGCGAGGAGGGAGGAGGACGAGTTGCGATGGGGCAGGAGGAGGGGTGATGGGGGATGCGGGGGGGGGCCTTGACAAGTGGGTCGGGGTCTGCTGAGGCGGCGGCAGATGGCGTTCGGGGACACGCCCCCGCGCTCCATCTTCCCCAGCCAAGCTTCGGCGCCCGCCCTGTCGCCCGCCTGGGGGCCGGGGTGGGATTGGGGGAAGGGGCTGGGACGGGGGGAGGAGGGAAGACGGGGAAGCGACAGTGGCCAGCAAGGGGTGCGATGCGTTGCGCTGTGACCACCGTTGCGGACAGCGTCCGCGCATAGCTCAGACCAGGTGGGTGAGGCCGTGGCCTCGAGAATCTGGCTGGTCTGGATACATGTAACGCGTGACACAACACAACGTCAGGAGGGGAGGAGGGGGAAGAATAGGAAGTCCTTGGTCTTGGTGTCGGCGCGGGCTGGGCGTGTCGTCTCGACTTTCTCTGGGCGTTCACTTTATGGGTCTTGGTCCTGGGTGCTTGCTGGTGTGAGGACGGTGTAGTAATGATCAAACGCTGCCAACGTTTCGGTATCTTGCGCCCATGTGACGTCGTCTGGTTGTCCCGTCATGTGGGTATCAGTGGATGGTCGGTGGGGGTATGGCCTGCGTTGGAATAAATAGGCGTTGCTTTCGTCGTCCCCACGCTTGTGCTGGCCATCGTGATGCCTGTCCCTGCTGGCGCCGGTTGAGGTTTGGTTGCCAGCGTAGCACCCAGCATGTCCACCTTTTTGCCGTCGTGGTTCGTGACTCTTGAAGCAGTGCGCCATACTTCTAGCTTGCGCACCTTCACCACATTGTCGATGCCGTGAAGCTTCACAAGGTGCTCAGCTCGTCGTATCGTTCTCTGAATGTATTCGACCAAAGGTTCCCACGGGTCTGCAATTGTGCTGTGTTCGCCGCTCTCGCTGCGCATGTCGGGCGTAATCGGTGTTTCGCGCTGAAGTGGGTTGCTGCCGGCGTCGTCGCTAGTGCAGTTGGTGCTGTGAACGTTATCTAATATCTCCTTGCTTGTGCTGTCCACAACAATAGCTCGCTTGCTTCTGTGATGGTGTGCTTGTTATGTTGTGCGTCGGCGCGGCGTTGTGATGATCATGCGGGGCATGCGCCGTTGTGTCCGTCGTAACTGCTGCCGGAAGGGGCTCCGAGAGCGTCCACGTCTCTGCTCAACATAATGTTGTCAGTGTTACCACACTGTTGAATAACTGGGGTCGGTGAACCGTCGGCCAAGAGGGTAGTACTTGCTGGTCAGCTCTGACTAGCAAACAACAAACGACGCACATGCTGCTCTCGTGCGGTGGTGGCCGTGTCCATCGGCTCGTGGAAGCTGATCAAGTGGCCGAGTCTGCCCTCGTATGGAATGTTTGTTAGTTCCATGTCTTGGACACGCGCTGTTCGTGAGCTCGCCCTCCCCGTCCTTCTCGTCTGGTTGCTTAGTCTGTTTGTTTTGCTCGCGTGTAGTTCGAGCCTGTGCGGCATTGCTGCGCGCGCAGCATCGTTGATCATCGTAGTCCGACGCGGGAGATTGGTTGGTCAGGAGCACGTGGTCGGCGAAGCGTGGCGGTGCTCGCAAATCCCAATTCAAGCCCTTCACGTTCCGTTGCCATTCGGAGACCAGCTGGCCAAGACTTCTTGTAGAAGAGCGTTGGGCAGTAGGGGGCGAAATGGGTCGCCCAGCCTCGTGCCCCCAAGAAGGCTGAAAGGTTAGCCGTTGACGTCTGTCTTCGCCGTAGCTGTCTGCCCCTCGTAGAACTGCTGAAATGACGCAGTATATCCGGATTGTTAGCCTTGTGCCCTCAGTGCTGGCCATATGCGCCTGTGATAAACTGGGTGATTCTTTTTTTAAGGTACTGCGATCCAAGGATGTTGGCCCCATTCTCGTGCCCCCTCACGTCATAGGTGGAAGGTGCGGAGGTCGCCTGTGGTCCAGTGCACTGGTCTGAAGCCCGCCTGGTCGGCAGTCTGGTGGGAATCAACAAATGTTAGATGCAACCTGTTGTAGTAGCAGTCGGCTGAAAAAGCTCGAAGAATAATGGTATCGTGCAAATTGGGCGGCATTTTCGCGGAAATGTGAGATCTCCACTTTTTGGTCTTACTGTGATGACTGTGATCTTCCAGCTGGCCGGCGGCGGGGCGCTGCGTTGCAAGATCGCGTTGTAAAGGTGGAGACATGCAGATCTACACTCTTCTGTGCCCTCCTGAAATATTTCTGCGCGGAGGCCTTGGTGTCGCGGGGGTTGCCAAGCCGGAGACCTCTGATCGCCTTCTTTAGCTCTGTAAATGTGAAAGGTGGTAGTCGGTGGTTCTGCTGGTCGGTGGTCTGTTGTCGGTCTGCTGGGCTGCTCGTTGGCGGTCGGTGGTCGGTCTGCTGATCTGCTGGTCGGTCCACTGGTCGGTCCACTGGTCGGTTGTCGGTGTGGTCGTTGTTTGGTCGTTGTGGTAGTCGGGGGGTCTGTTGGTCGGTTGTCGGAGGTCGGTCGGTGGTCGGTCTGCTGGCCTTCTGGTCGGTCGGCGGGTGCGGCGTTCGGCCTGTTGGTCTGCTGGTCTGCTGCTCCGTGGTCGGTGTGATAGTCGTTTAGTTGCTGTGGTAGTTGGTAGGTCTGATGGTCGGCGGTCGGTGGTCGGTCTGCTGGTCGACGGTCGCTCTGCCGTTCTGTTGGTCGGTCGGCCATTCCAGAGTCCAAACTAAACTAATTGGCTGCTGACTGTATACTGGTCGGTTTGCTGGTTTGTCTGCTGGTCGGTGGTCCATGGGATCGTCGTTTAGTCGCTCCGGCTGCGTCCTGTATGCTGTCGAGTTGTACAACTGCAAGTAGAACGCCGCAAGACGTTAGCGATACTTTGTCGTGTCGTGCATTTCGTGCCCCCTGTGCATGTCATGTGGGTAATGAAACTTGTTTCTCGTCGTGTTTGATACGTGAGATGCTCTTCACTTGTTTTCAAAACAAACTCCACTATGTTTGCTATATGGGCCCGTCGTGTCGTCCGCCTCTGTGCCCGAAACTCTTGCTGTATGAGTTTGCTCAATTGCTTGTGGGCGTGGTGGTCGTCGTTGAGTGTCTGCTGTCGCTGTGCGATTAAACTGTTTGGTCGTATTGGTCATTGGTCGGGTTGTTGGTTTGCTTATGACTTGGTTGGGGGTGCTTGTTCTGTCGCGGCACTGCTGGCGGCAGCGGCTTCGATGATGACGTGCTGGATGTGTCCGCTCAGCGCTTGCGGGTCGGAAGGTAAGATGGGCTGTTAAGCCGCTGGCGATCATGGTAAACTTGCGTGGTGGTGATAGTTCTGGTTAAACGATTTGGGTGGGATGGCGTGGTGTTGCTGACGTCTTTCGTCGTCGTGTCGCGGTCGTCTGTTTATCATTGTGGTCGGTATCCGCATGTCGATGGTCACAGCCTTGTGGTCGGAACCGAGGTCGGTCCTATTGTTGGCCTCTGCGTTGGTACACTACCAGGAAAACGTGCAGTTCAGCAATACGTAGTCGAGATGTTTGTGCTGGTCGCCTTTGGTATACTTGATTGCTTGTGCACCGGCTTGTGAAAATATGCATTTGCAATAACGAGTTGTTGGATTGGCCAACGACGCGGCCAACAAAATAATGGCGGGCAAAGGAAGGAAACGATCCGTGAAGAGAAGACGAAGCAAAACAATCGAGAGAGTGACGTCCGCCGCCCTTCAAGAGGGCACTTCCGACAGCGCACAGCGAAGCCAACCACAATTCATCCTACCACTGACGGCCTGCCCTGCCAGAGGGAAGACGTGGGAGGGGGAGGGGTGGAGCGGAGCTGGGCCGATGTTGCCCAGAGGGCGTCACGTGTGGGGAACGGCGGGTGCGCCGGGGCGCCTCAGTTGGATCTGAGAACGTACAAAGATTCCGTAGTGCTCCACAACTCGTCATCGCATGCAGTCGTTTCCCAGTCCCTATCTTGGGCGCCCGAGTTATCAGGGGTAACTCGGGCGCGGGGTAACTCGGGTCTGGATTCCCGAAACACGAAGCCGAATTAGCCCTGACCCGAGTTACCCCTGATGATTTGGGGCTCTGGACGCCCGAATTATCCGGGGTAGCTCGGGCCCGGGGTAACTCGGGTTCGGATTCCCGAAAAACGAACCCGAGTTGGCCCTGACCCGAGTTACCCCTGATGATTTGGGGCTCTGGACGCCCGAGTTACCCGAGTTAACCCTGACCCGAGTTAACCCTGATGATTCGGGGCTCTGACTATCTGCGTAACTACTTCGCACTCTTACATGTCGCGGCACCGTTTGTCCTCAACGCGCCCAAAGTGGGCGACGCCGACACCACGGCGACCTCACGACAAGCCCTGCGTGCCGCGCCCAAGTATGCAACGCTGGCATTGGGTCGGGCGTCCCCCAAACAGGCAGATGTTGGACGAAAAATGAAACATAGCAAAACAAACCAAAAACAAACAAATACTCAAACAATAACGCCCTGACTTTTTGTTTGACCATTGTTGAATATTCCCCCCTGTAGAGCGGCATGCCCGACTTAACGCTGGCACCGAGGCAAACCCCAAGGCAAACCCACCGCGCCCGAGGCGCCGTTTGCCCTGATGGCCGCGGCGCCCTCCCCAAGACGCAGGGCCGCGCGTCGGAACAAACGGCGCGGCGACACATCATCTTGCCGGGCGGGGGATGAAGTCCCTGCAGGGATTTTGATGCCTGGGCGTCGTGGGGGACCTCCTGGGGCGTTCTCGCGGCCAAGTCAGACTCCCCTGCGAACTTCTTGGTCGGAGCGCTCTAGGAGAGGTCTGGGAATCAGGGCAGGACCCCGATCTCTGACATCTTGAAAAATCCGCCGACCCTATCGGCGTGTGAGGGCCTTTCGAGTCGTCGTCTCCGTCAGTCGTCGTCTCCGTCGTCCCCTTTCCCTGTACCCCCTCCTCAAGCTTGTCAGCGAGAGAAAAATCTAGCAACGTCGTAATCGAGTCGAAGGGAAGCCCCTTCTCTTTGATCCCATCTCCATCGGGGGGGAGGGGGTCCCCGGGGGGGTCCTGGGAGGGTTCCTGGGAGGGGGATTCAGATACGCATTCCCCTCTGGGGGTCGGGTCCCAGGCCTCAGAAAGTACCAAGACAGGCTCTCGTCCAAGAAGCCCCCGAGACGGTCCAAGAGGGCAACCAATCGCCACACGATCGGTCCACAACGCCTTCACACCCTCCAAACTGTCCAAGAAGCCATGTAGACGCCCCGAGAAGCCTCCAATAGCACTCCCGGGAGGGCCCCAAGAGGCAGAATTAATTGATGCTCCTCAGGTTCGTTTTGAAGATTTGGGCGTTCTCGCCTTTTCCTCTTCCCGCCACTCCAATACGGCTCAATGGGCCCCCAAGATCGCCCCAAGACGGCTCAAGAGACCTCCAAGAGGGCCCCCAAACAGCCCAAGAGGACCCCAAGACAGTCCAAAACGCCTCCAAGACTGCCCAAGCGGCACCCAAGACGTCTCCAAGGGCGTGCCCAGACGGGACCCGATCAGACATTTCGAGCCCTCGGCCCCGAGAGGCCCCCAGGAGGCCCCAAAAGGTCCCCGAGAGGCCCCATGAGGCCCACGAGAGGTCCCCAGGAATCCCGGAACTGCCCTCAAGAGGCTCCCAAGGGGCACCAAAATTCATCCCCAGAGGCCTCCGAGAGCCTTTCGAAGAGACCCCAAGAAGTATGTTTAAGGACTATGTTTTATGTTAATGTCGTCGCTGTCGTCGTCGTCGTCGTCGTCGTCGTCGTCGTCGTCGCCGTCGCCGTCGCCGTCGCCGTCGCCGTCGCCGTCGCCGTCGTCGTCGTCGTCGCCGTCGTCCCCCTTCAGGGTTGGCGGCACCGTCGCTCTTCGATTTGGACCCCTGGGGCATGTCTCGGGCCCAGGACCGTCTGGAAGAGACCCTGGGGGGGGGTAGAACTGGTCCTGGGAATAGGGTGGAAAGCCCAGGGGGGCTCCTGTCACAAACAAATGGTGACGTCAGATGCCAGGCGGAAGATGAAGAGGAAGGGGGAAGAATAGAGGAACGAGGATGAGGAACGAGGAAAGAGATACGGAAGAGGATGAGGAACGAGGAATAGAGGATGAGGAACGAGGAATAGAGGAACGAGAAACGAGAATGAAGGGAAAAGGAACGAGGAAGAGATACGGACAACACGTGAAGGAGGAAGAAGGATGGGTGGATAAGAAAAGGGAGGATTGAGGAGGAGGAAGCCACAACACGTGCCGCTCGATCTTACAGACGAGCATGCAGCTTAATCTAGCAAGGCTATCCTGAGCCCAAAACAGCTGAACACACAGTGCGTTGTACCGAGGGTGGTGCAACTTGTGAAGGTTCGATTGTAGAGCAAGTCGCGCTCCTTATCGATCCTCGTCCTCCCTCCCTGTCCCGCGGCCGGACCCGAATCCGTAAAAACACTTGGCCGCGACATCGAAGCCCGAGCACATAAACATATAAGCCTCCACCCCGAAGCCAAGGTAAGTCCGACAGGTTCCAACTCCAACACTCAAGACTCGAATTTCGCGAACACCGACCTGCTCGAAATGGCATGCACGAAGCCCATGGAAGCCACAGGCAGACGGCGAGACTTAAATTTGTCGCTGGAGCGCTGGGGAGTTTTTGGAGCGCGAGAGAATCGCATGGCAACATGAGTATCCCTGCAGCAAAGTCAGTCGGAGACTCTTTGCATTTCCCCCCGGTGATAACTTGCGAAATAATGGCACACGTAGCACTACAAGTGCAATGTGCGTACACCTCGGAATGATTCCGACTTGGTCAGAGGAACGCGCATCTACGGAGGCAGGAACTTGCATAGAGGAGAGCTGCCTGCATCAGGATCGCGTGGATATGTATCCACGCCGTACGTTTCAAGTGGACGATACGACAGACAGGGAAAGCTGTAAGTTTTGGAGGACCATAGAAAACACGACGTCACTCTGATCCACCCTCTCTCCCTCCTCCCCCTCCCCGTCTTCTTCATCCTGCTCGGGCTCATCCTCGTCCACTCCTTTTTCTCATACTATTTCCCTCCGTGGCCATTTTGGATCAAAAAGTTTTGTCGCATAGCGGAGGCTGTGAATACCTCTGATCCGAGGCAGTCTCGGGCAGTCTGAAATCCTTTCGGCCTGTTAGCCCGCGTCCGAACTCAAACCAGCGTTCGAGGCGGTTTTCCTCATGGCCGCAGTCACACTTAGCAGTGTTCGATGGCATCGGCACGCAAGGGTGTTTTCTCTTGGTGTGGGGCCTGCGGCAGCTGGGTGTAGATTTCCAGGATTGTCCACAATGGTAGCAGGTGTGCGAAGTGCTGGGCGGACATCCAGATCTGTGGTTCTGACAAGGTTGCGGGGGGTACAGTTGCCGCCCCCGTGCGCCGTGGGCCAAGTCGCAAGCGAGCTTCACCCAGCAGAGCTTCTCCAGAAGTTGGCCCAATTGCCGATGTTTTCGGAGATACCCTGGCTCTGCAGCGCGCGCTAGATGTCCAGGAAAACGCGAAAGACCGATCTGAGGATAGCCGGGGAATCCTGCGCAGTCGCGAGACGAGCTGAAACGCAAAGGCCCAGTGAGTGCACGCAAGCATGGTGAGGTTCACGGTGACTAGACCATAGCAGGCCGCCCGTTATCCCCTCTGGCCCCCTCCTCCTCCTCCTCCTCCTCCTCCTCCTCCTCCTCCTCTTCTTCTTCTTCTTCTTCTTTCTCCTCCTCCTCCTACTCCTCCTCCTCGTCCTCCTCCTCGTCCTCCACCTCCTCCTCGTCGTCCTCCTCCTCGTCCTCGTCCTCCTCCTCCTCCCTCTCCTCCTCCCTCTCCTCCTCCCGCTCCTCCTCCTCCTCCTCCTCCTCCTTCTCCACCTCCTCCTGCTCCTACCCCTCCTCCTGTGGCACCCAAGTTGAAACTGACGGCGTCAAGCTTTACGTTGCTCCCCCCGCGCGACCCAGAGCAACGACAACGCCGGCCGCCACTGGCCGTCTCTCACACGCGCTGACCTCAACGCTGTAGCTGATAACGCTCGCCTCTAGCTTCGCCCCCCCCCCCCCCTCCGATCGCACCGAGAAGCGCCAAAGCCCGCTGCCACTGCTTGCCCTTCTCGCACGCGCTGACACCAGCGAGGTAGCTAACTAACGTGAACCTGTGGAGTCTATACAAGGCTTGCTAAACTTGGGGCTCCCAAGCCGTAGGTTTAATACACAGAACAGGGCGACGAGGCCGAACAGCTCGTGGAGCTCGTGGGGAGGACGGGGGGAAGACAAGAGTGCATGTGGAGGACCTCGGAGCGCCTGAACGTGCCGCGAAAACGACTGTGTGAAGGGCGGGGGGAATACGGTGAGTTCCTGTCGTGACGAGCTGAGCTGTTGCTTTTGACTCCTCCGCACGAACGGCAGTTTTTAAAACTGCGAGATCGTTCACGTCCATTGTCGGCGTTGGGCCCCTGATGCCGGCGCTGAGGTCGCCGCCGCGTCGACGCGACGCGAATCTGCGCACCCTTCCCCACTGCTCAGGTGGCGCGAGACGGGGCAAGCAGCAGAGAGCAGGAAATGTACGATGACGAGGGAGAAGAGAGCGAGCGCTCCCGGAAGCGCAGAGATGCGCTCCCTCTGCCTCGGGTGCGGCCAACCGGCCCCCTGTGTGACGGGCGCTCACGCGACGACCTCCCCGCTCTGGAGGCCCGCCTCTGGCTGCGTGCGTGCGCAATGAGGCGAGGAGACCGCCACGGAAGAACGCTGGTCCGCTGGGGGTGGGTGGGCCCGTTTCTGAACTACGTCCCGTCGGTCTGTGAGCGGGGCGCCCCGGTCTTTCACTGTGACCAGGCACCAGTACTCCGCCATGACGTTCTTGCTCGGGCGTACGCTCTACGCGTGGCCATGCATCACCTCCCCGACATTCGGGGCCTCCTGGTGGCCTGTCTGGATCCTCAGGGGCCACTCTTAGGATATTTAGGGTGTCACTTGGGCCGTGTCGGGGGCATCTAGGGTCATTCTGCGAGGCTGGGGCCTCTGGAAAGTTTCTTGCGGTATTTTGGGCGCCTTTGGGGCCGTTCCCAGGCTGTCACCGAGAGCCCCTTTTGGAGGACAGCCCTGGAAGCTGTGGAGCCTTTCTAGGGCATCTTTGGGGCTCTCCAGGGCTCTGTGGGGACTCTCTTGGGGCCGTCTTGGAGGGCACATGGAGCTTTGCGCTCTTGGGCCATCTTGGGGCCCCTTTGGGCCGTCTAGGGCCTCTCTTGGGAGCCTGATGGGCAGTGATGGGGCGATCTAGGAGTCGCTGGGAGCCGTCTGGAGCCGTTCTTGGGGCGAAACGGAAAGAACCTGATACATCCTTCAAAAACTAAGCAACATCTACGATTTGGGCCTCATGAGGCCGCCATCGAGGTCCTCTAGGGCCGTCTTGGAGAGCGTCTTGGCTTGTTTTTCGGGGTCTGTCTTCTTCGTTTTTTGTTGCTCGCCTTGACAGCACTCGTGCTGCAGAGAAGTCTATGAGTCTGTGGCCCGCGGCCCAGCGCGCATGCGCAAACCCCCGCTGGTCAGTCGGGAGGCCGACTGGCAGCTGGGGACCGGCCAACGTCTGTGGCCTAAGTAGACGGGATAAAATCTGCTCGTCTCATCAGCCGAACGCGCTGGGCAGGGCCTCAGAGGTGCATGGCGCACCCCAGCCTGCTGCTCGGAGCACCTTGTGGGCATTCTGAATACAAGGCTAAGACGGCGGTCAATGCCTCGGGCTTAGTCCACCTCCTCCACAGTGGGCCCCGCGCCGCCGCCGGGGGCAGCCCCACCGCCCGGCATGCCGCCCTCGGGCATTCCTCCACCGCCGGCGGCCTGGTACACCTTCATCATGATGGGGTTGACGATGCCCTCCAGCTCCTTCTGCTTGGCCTCAAACTCATCCTTCTCGGCCAGCTGGTTCTTGTCCAGCCAATCAAGGGCATCCTGCACCGCCTTCTCGATCTTCTCCTTGTCTCCATCCTCGAACTTTTCTTTGAGCTTCTCCTCCTGCAGGGTATTCCGCATGGTGAAGCAGTAATTCTCGAGGCCGTTCTTCGCCTCGATCTTTGCCTTATTTGACTCGTCCTCGGCACGATACTTCTCCGCCTCCTGCACCATCCGGTCGATCTCCGCCTGGGACAGCCGCCCCTTCTCGTTGGTGATGGTGATCTGGTTGGACTTCCCCGTGGACTTGTCCTGAGCGGACACGTTGAGGATGCCGTTCGCGTCGATGTCGAACGTCACCTCGATCTGCGGCACGCCCCGCGGGGCTGGCGGGATGCCGTCGAGGTGGAACTTCCCCAACAAATTGTTGTCCTTGGTCATTGCGCGCTCGCCTTCGAACACTTGGATAAGTACTCCCGGCTGGTTATCGGCATAGGTGGTAAAAGTTTGACCCTTCTTGGTAGGAATCGTGGTGTTCCGCTCGATCAGCTTGGTCATCACTCCGCCAGCGGTCTCCAAGCCCATCGAGAGGGGCGTCACGTCGAGCAGCAAAAGATCCTGGACTTGCGAGGATCCCTCGCCGGTGAGGATGGCAGCCTGCACTGCGGCGCCAAAAGCCACGGCCTCGTCCGGATTGATAGACTTGTTCGGCTCCTTGCCGTTGAAGAACTCCTGGATCATGGCCTGTACCTTCGGAATGCGTGTAGAACCACCAACCAAAACGACCTCGTGCACGTTCCGCTTGTCGATGCCGCTGTCACGCAAACACTTTTCGACGGGACCCATCGAATTGCGGAAATAATCCATGTTGAGCTCCTCAAACCGGGCGCGCGACAGCGAGCAAGAGAAGTCGATACCATCGAAGAGGGAGTCAATCTCAATCGTGGCCTGAGTGGATGAGGAAAGGGTCCTCTTGGCGCGCTCGCACTGTGTCCGCAGACGGCGAATGGCGCGCTGGTTGCCCGCGAGGTCCTTGCCTCTATTCTTGCGCTTGAAGTCTTGCATACAGAAATCCACGATGCGGTTGTCGAAGTCCTCGCCGCCCAGATGTGTATCCCCGGCGGTGGCCTTCACCTCGAAGATGCCGTCCTCGATTGTGAGCAGAGAGACATCGAAGGTGCCCCCGCCCATGTCGTAGATGAGGATATTCTTCTCACCGCTGCCCTTCTTGTCGAGGCCGTAAGCGATCGCCGCCGCGGTGGGCTCGTTGATAATTCGAAGTACGTTCATGCCTGAGATCGTTCCTGCGTCCTTGGTGGCCTGGCGCTGGGAGTCATTGAAGTAGGCTGGAACAGTCACAACAGCATCGTTACACTTGGCCCCCAAGTACGCCTCCGCAGTCTCCTTCATCTTGAGCAGAATCATCGAAGAGATCTCCTCAGGGTGAAACTTTTTCTCCTCGCCCTGTGATGTCACGACGATCATCGGCTTGTCGCCCTGTCCTGCTTCGACCTTGAACGGCCACAGCTTAATGTCGGCCTGCACGATAGGGTCTGCGAATTTGCGACCGATCAACCGCTTCGCATCGAAGACGGTGTTTTCTGGGTTGCGGGCCACCTGGTTCTTGGCCGCGTCACCGATCAGGCGCTCGGTGTCGGTGAAAGCCACGTAGGACGGCGTCGTGCGATTGCCCTGATCGTTGGCGATGATCTCGACGCCGTCGTTCTTCCACACTCCGACGCAAGAGTAAGTGGTGCCCAAATCGATGCCAACAGCGGTCTTCTTCGACATGGCTACCGTCACCAGCCGCCGCCGAGGCCAGAAACTGCTCGGCAAAGTTAACCTGGAGTCTGTATTGAATCAACGTGGCTTGAGCCAATATTGCCACGGGAGGCCTCCTGGCTTGTCATGGGACCGTCTTGGGCCATTCTGAGGCTCGCTTCGGATTCTCTGGGACCATCTGGGCGCTCTCTTCAGCGTCTCTGAGCCGTCGTTGGAAGTCTTGGAGC